TACGATTGATAATGGTATAAGTAATAGTCCTAAATGGAAGTTTGAGGGTTCTACAGAGAAGATTACAAAACACTTAAATCATTTTTGCTACAGCATGCAATCCTTGTTGAGTTTGTTATTCTTACTAAATTTGCTTTTCCTTCTATACATTTCTGACAGCAGTGTCCTTTAAATCGTTTTTGCCAAAGTTGCGAAAACAATTTGCGGCTGCGTTCAATCCTGGACGTAAGTGGAGACGGTTAGAGAAACCATTGCATTGTCTACTTAAAGCCAGCGTATTGTTATTATTTTATTATTATCATTGTATTGTTATTATGGCAGTACAAACGTCTCGATGCCCAGAGTTAAAAGTAAAAGCTTTGGCTGGGAGGCAAACCGTAACCAGCCGCAGCATCGACTAAAATTTGTGGTAACAATTACACAATAATTTGCACACAAAAAAGGGTCATAAAAACTAACTAAATAAATAAAATCCTACAAACTTTATGGATGTCTTAATTACAAAATACAAATGTTTATAAGTTTAAAACCATCGTTCATATAACTGTCCATTCAGTTATGGGAGCGTCTAAGATAGAGAATTTCGATAATGTACAATATTAAGTATCTGTTAAAACAGGTGTTCAAAATTCCTATAGATATCTAATTCTAATTCTAGTAAACAGACAGGGAGCAGTATACAAGATCAAATGCTGTGACTGCCAGGCTTCTTACATTGGTGAAACCGGCAGAAACCTAAGCACACGACTGACCGAACACAAACGAGCGACGAAGAATGGTGACGTCAGCAATCACATTGCTGAGCATCATTTAAAGACGAAACATCAAATTGACTCTGCGACATGTATAGCGTATTCTACAGACTACTATCAACGTCTTACTTTAGAAAGCTGGTTTACTAACTTAGAACAAACGCCACTGAATCGTAGCCAACAGTTACCAGCGCCGTACAAACGACTTATTGACGAGATCAAACAAAACTAACTACGAGAGAATGACAATTTGACTAACTATAGACGACTGTTTAACTGTGACAATAGACGGATCGAAACGCACCAATTACTGATTACGAGTCTTCGTAGCCAATAACATCACGGCTTAACTGACAGACGACCAATAACATCGCGACGTAATTGACCAATCAGATCAATAACCAGAGTATAATACCATCAACTGACGTGATACAACTCACTTTGACTCTGAAGATGACTATACCGCACAGGTTGTCGAAACGTCAGTCACTGTCAACAACAACAGTCCTATTCAGGACTACGTTCACCCGAACGATCAAACTCAACTTACTTTTGAAATGACTCCTGGGTTCAAACCTTTCACAATGTGTAATGAACTAGACAGGATTGCCTTTTGCATTTGGCGCATAATTGATTCACACTTGTCTCCTACAAGCTCTTTTATATTTTACTCAACCTCTTTCGAACAGCCCCCAAGGACATCCATAATGATGTTATACCACAGGCGGCCCAAACTCACGTTACGAGGGAAGGGTGTAATGTAATTTACATACCATAGGTGACGCGTCGGTGTCGCGTTACAGGCGACCCTTGAAAACATAAGAGAACTGTATGAGAAATATATTACTGAGATCTGCGAACGCTAAACAACGCTAAACCTTACTTTTTCTTAAATGAAATGAATAAAAAAGTCTTACCTGCAATCTATTCCACTGCGTTTTGGTGTCTGTTTGTCGTTTTACTGTTTTTTTTGGCTTTATTGCATAACCACTGTTACTCCTTTTCCACTTCGTCCTATGAAAGGAGTAACAGTGGTTATGCAATAAAGCCAAAAAAAACAGTAAAACGACAAACAGACACCAAAACGCAGTGGAATAGATTGCAGGTAAGACTTTTTTATTCATTTCATTTAAGAAAAAGTAAGGTTTAGGGTTATTTAGCGTTCGCAGATCTCAGTAATATATTTCTTATACAAAGTCTCTTACATTTTCAACGGTCGCCTGTACTGTAACGCGACACCGGCGCGTCACCTATGGTATGTAAATTACATTACACCCTTCCCTCGTAACATGAGTTTGGGCAGCCTGTGGTTATACTGATTGACCTTGTACTCAGGATATCGGTTCGTCAGCTCTAGTCTCAGTTGACTGTACTTCGTTGTCTTCTCGAAATCTTTAGACCCTCTATTTTCCAGCCACGGACAACTCATTTCAATCCCTCTGACTTGCTTGCTGGTCTTGTCAATAACCGTGGCGTCGATTCTATTAGCTTTTACTTGAGTTCTGTCAGAGAATAATGGGACGTCCCAGAAGGTGGTCGCATGCTCATTCTCATACAGCGGCTTGGGTGTGACTTGTGAGAACCACGGCTCACTTTAGTAATGAGATCTAAAGATCTGAGGACTTCAATGAATACGATCTTGAAAGCATTGTTATGTCTCTGTAGGTACTTAGGTAGTGCCAGTGCACTACAGCCAGATAGAATGTTCTGCACATTCTCCAGGGAATCCCCTCATAGGCGGCATTTTTCATCAGTGATTTGTGATTTTGTTTTTCTGTTGTAGTAAACCTTGGCAGGTAACAGCTGTTGGTAAAGCTCTTGTACTCCAGCGATGGTATGCGTTGGGGCATTCTTCCATAAAGAGTTTAGTTTAACTTCCTCGTCGTCCCATCTGTTCTTGATAAGCTTTCCTTGCCATCTCTCCTCAGATACCGTTGATTGTATCTCCTGCTGGCGGGCTTTGTAGATTGCCTGCTTTACCTTCTTAGCTTCGACCTGTTTACCATCGGCGACAGCTACTGGGTTAGGGAAGTTCATCCACAACTGTAGATCCAGCTCCTCTGCGTAGTGTTCAGTACTCGATGGAAAGAAAGTCGACTAAACGGCGTTTAAACCGGCCGTAGGACACAGAGTGGCTGTGAACTAAAGGTAAGGGAGCTTTTTTAATCAATATTTCGCGTGATCATGATTTTTTTTTCTTAGCGTTGTAGATTCGAATTCGAACAATGAGGGCCCGAATCACATGTAATAATGCAAGAAATCTCGACCTTCGTTATATCTTAAAGGCTACTAGTACAGATAGACAAACAAGAAGACTTCATATCTTTAAGATTTTTGCATTTATTTGGCATCAGATAATACACTAATAATTCTAGTATGTTCCGACCAAATGACCTCTGAAGCCAGAACCCAAACATAGTGCGCTTGGGCTGCCTGTGATTAATCCGGATCTGTCAATTCCTTGTTGTAGTCTAGCGGTTAAGTGCAAATCTGAGGAGAATTGTGCCTTTGATGATAAAAGCACGATTTTTGGTATAGAGATAATAGATATCTTAAAAAACATTTTTTCATATAGGGCCATCCCAGATTAATCACGTGACCTCCATTACATAGATCTAAAAATGACCTCATCGGAGGCGATCTTTTTGCTTCATTGCCAGTAGAAATAGAGTAGTATCTCGTCCACTTTTTAATAAAATCCTTATTTTTCCGCTCCCATACATTTAAAATGACGATATTTTTGGAATGGTAGCTGTAAATCACCGATGGTGCTATATTTCAGTTTTTATCCTTAGGGAAAACAAAGAAGTAACGTCGTGATAGTCAAAATGGTCTTGAGGCAAAACATCACTCGCTCATAAAAAGAGTCTTGACCGTTTTAATGTTATCCATAAATGAAAATAAAAGAAAGCGTTATGTGAACTTAGATTGTTTCTTTCATAGCCAAAAGGTAAATAAAATACACAATTGCAAAGCAAATCCAGTGGAACTGGCCAGGAACCCATGGTGAGGATAAGTTTGTGGTGATGTTTGGGGGACTGCACATTGAAATGGCACCTCTGAAGGCCATAGGAAATCTCTTAGACGGCAGTGGATGGGGAAGTGCACTAGTACAAGCCGGCGTTGCTACGCCTGGGACGGCTGATTCATTTTGTCGCGTTACTCATGTGATGACTAGAAGAGCCCATCAGATCACGGCTGGCAGTCTGTTTGTACTTCTTGAAAAGGCTTATTCTGAGTATCGTGTCAGTCTGAGCGACGACCAGAATCCGCTGTCATTAGAAGAGTGGTGTTCGCACAGTGTAGAGCTTTATCCACAGTTCAAGTTCTGGTTGCTTATCCTGCAGATGCAATTGGCCGTATTGATCTACATTAGAGCTATTAGTGAAGCTGACTTCAAACTGTACGTTGACGCACTCACGCAAATTGTTCCGTGGTTCTTTGCTCTAGACCAAATTCACTACGCTAGATGGATCCCTGTTCATTTACGGGACATGGTTACACTGAAAGACGTTCACCCAACTGTTTTTGCTGAGTTCATGAAAGGAAACTTTGTTGTCAAGAAGACAGAACGCAGATTCTCGGCCATAGCAATTGATCAAGCGCATGAACAGAACAATGCTTCTGTGAAAGATGACGGAGGAGCTTTTGGCTTAACGGAAAATCCGGCTGCATTGCGGCGGTGGATGGTATCTGGACCAGAGATGGCCAGAGTTATTGAAGAGTTTGAACCATCAACAGCTATCAACAGAGAAGAGAAAATGTTTAGATTTCCGTCATCATGAGGAGGCCAAACATGTGCAGAAAAAATTTGCACAAAATGTTGAAGATCTAGCCAAAGCCATCGAAGAAATGGGAAATCCATTCACCGAGAACAGCAACGATCTTCTTGTACCGGACAGTAGAGACCTTCCAGATCCAGCCATTATTGATTCTGTTCGTAAAATTGAGAAATTAGGACAAGGGCAGTATAACATCTATGTAGGAGAGAGGCTAGTCAATCAAACAAAGTCCGTCTGGGAGCCTATCAAGAAGAACAATTTGGCACTATTTAGGCGACCTCCAGTCCGAGAAAAAACAAAGTCGCAGCTGCAGCTTGCTTCCCTGAAAAATGACTGCTCCCTCTTTTCACGTCTTTACGTTGCATCGCAGGTCCGCAATGGGAATCTTGATAAATTTTTCGAGCATGAGAATCAGGCATACCCTCCGGCATTATCACAAAATGGCAAGCTGAGAAGCGGTACTAAGTCTGACCTTGTTAGTTGTCTGGAAGAACTGGTTAATTCCCGCGAGAATGCCACTCATCCCAGTGTGGAAGTTATCATCCTCGATGGCTCTGTCATTGTAAACATGCTTCGACCAGGTTCAGCAAAAACTTTCTCGGATTATGCTTCGCAAGTTTTTCTTCCATACGTAGCGTCCCAGCTGCAGCAAGCAAGTAGAATTGACATCGTTTGGGATGAGTACCGCCCTGACAGTTTGAAAGCTGAAACGAGGGTTAAGAGAGGAAAGGGAGTTCGAAGACGCGTAGAGGCTTCAACACCAATTCCAGGAAACTGGCAAGAGTTTTTGCGCACTTATGAAAACAAAGTGGAACTGTTTAGTTTTCTAGCAAATAGAGTACATGCATCGAAACCGAAAAGCAAGTTCTCAGCACTATTCAGTCTGATATAGCTTGCAATCAGTCAAGAAATGTTTCGAGGCTTACCCCATGTACACGCGAAGAAGCAGAAACCAGGATCATCTTGCACTTGAAGGACGCTCACTGAAGGATTTAACAAAATATCCATTCGTACCGTTGACACCGTTGCAGTGGTTTTGGCTGTGGCAGCAGCTCAGCGCCACGGAAACACTGAAATCTGGATCGCTTTTGGTACAGGAAAGAGTTTCCGCTTTTTGGCCGCTCATGATATGGCTAGAGTACTGGGACCAGACCGATGTACTGCCTTGCCGATGTTCCACGCCTTCACTGGGTGTGACACTGTTTCATTTTTTGGAGGAATAGGTAAAGGAACTGCCTGGGACACGTGGAGATCCCACAACGATATCACATCGATATTCGTCTCTTTGGCAAACACCCCAGAGTCTGTGGAGAGCTCAGTTACATCACTGGAGCGATTTGTGATTTTGCTGTATGATTGCACCAGCAGCCTAGAAGACATCAATCAGGCCAGGAAACACCTCTTTGCGCAAAAAGGCAGGTCGATCGAAAACATTCCACTGACGAAAGCAGCCCTTGTACAGCACATCAAGCGGGCAGTCTATCAAACTGGTTATTGCTGGGCACAAGCGACGACTTCAAGCCCTGATCTCCCATGCCCTAGTAAATGGGGATGGAAAAGAAAGGAGCCATGCAGCTGGGAAGCCAACTGGACCTCACTGCCAGAAGCAAAGGTGGCCTGCAGAGAACTTTTGAGATGTGGTTGCAAGAAAGGTTGCAAAGAGAACTGCAAATGCTCAAAGGCTGCTCTGCAGTGCACAGCTCTATGTCAATGTGGTGGACAATGCACTGAGAACTAGGATTTTTCATGGTGAAACAGCATTGAATTCTATGCTTTCTACGCTTTCTATAACATGTAGCTTTTATTCATGGTAGTAAGGATTTCTTAGAACGAAAGTCGTTTTTTTCCATTTCTAAAGTGGTGTTTTAAACAGCAGGAAACCAGTTTTTCTATACGAATCTGTCCCTATGTTCGTACCAAGCTCTATAATCGAACATTTGCAATAGCTTTTTCTACACCATCATGTTGCACGTTTGTCAAGTGTATCATAATTTGGTTTAAGAGAACCAAATTCTATATTATTCTTACTTTTACCCCATGCTTACACCTCATTTAGTGCTTACATGACGTTTTTAAGTAATAGGGTTGCTGCCATGACAACAGTAAACGGCTGCGATGTGAGTATTGTGATGAGGACACAATAAATACGGTGTAAGAAGCATCCTGACCTTAAAGTGTAATTTATTTCGTTAACTGCTATAGATTTATTAATGTTAAATGTAAAAAGGCCACGCCCTTTTTAAAAAACGCCGCCATGTTGGTCACGTGACTAATCTGCGATGGCGTAAGCACTCGTTTCCATATCTCAAATCGCCCTCTCCCTTTTCACTTACACTTACATGAAATTTCTAAGTTTCTTGACCCAGAGACTTAGTTTCTGCTCAACAAATGTCGTCAAAGTGCAAGTCTCTTCAATTTTAAAGGAAAAAAAAAAATTTCCGACTTACAAGCAGGAATCGACACCGGAATACTAAGTCAGTAGTCCCAAGCCCTAACCACTACACCACGGAGGATTCGCTGCAGGGAACCGGAGTAAAATAACTACTGTAGAGAAAACCCCAACCCTAAAAAGAAGCTAACCGTTAACCCTAATCACTATTCTAAGTGCTTAACCCTAATCAGTATTTTCAGTGCTTAACCCTAATCAGTATTGTTAGTGCTTAACCCTAATCACTATAGTCAGGGCTCACTCATATATGTATACATATATGCAATTACTTTGTGTAGGCATCACAAGGTATCCAAGGGCGGTTTGAGATATGGAAACTAGCATTTACCATAGGGTGGCCCTATATCTAAATTTTTTTTAAAAGATATGAGCTGCAAGTGTGCCAAGTTTCATTCTTTTATCATAAAAGGCACAATTTTTACTCCCAACTGCTGGACTATTGATGCTGTGGAGAAGAAGAAGCAGACTTATTTAGTTAATTTGTCGCAGAGATAAATTGGATCAGGCTTTTTTTGGTAAAAACTTGAATTGGCGGCAGATATGAATTCGTATAAGCTTACTCTCAGGAAGATCGAGTCACTTGCGGAGGCAAGCTTTCACGATGCCCTTCTTGCGGTGATCCTCGTAACTACCATGTTATTTCGCGTTTTCTCTGGATCGTTAGATCGAGAAAAGACATGGTACGCATTGAATGATCGTTTGTGTGGTAAGCAGCTGAGAAAATTCAGCGAGGGTTCTTTCTTTCAGCTATTTCCCGATTAATTTCTTCGCGTTAATTTTGCTGATCTGCACGATGAAAATGGCTGCCCTGTTTCAAGCCAGTGGTTCAAGCTAAATGGGCAAAAATCTTCTGATCAAGTTTACGTTGGAAGTACATTTGCAGTAGTTGCCTGTAATTTAGTCCTTAGGAAACCGTCAGAATCGGAATTTCTTCGATTAGAAGCCTTCTTGTCGCTGAAGCGGACCATCAACAGGCATGTTTTGAAAGAATCGGACATCGATCACAGGCCCGCTCAGGATTTATGCTGCGTTAGTACAGACAGAGATTCTAAAAGTGACGAAGGAGAAATTCCCCAAGAATTGAAAGAGGAGAAATTATCTTTAGAAAGCAGCTTTCCGGGAAGCCCGCCAAAATGCTCTACTCCACGAAGACAAAGCCCCGCGCGCCAAAATTTGAAATCCCCCTTGGCCATGTTGACAGTACATCTTCTTCAAGTTCCTGTGACGATTCCTCGCAATCTGTTGGATCTGTATCGTCAATTTCTTCGTTATTAAACGGAAAGTTTGGCTCTGCGTATAAGAAGAGAAAGATCAGACAAAAGGTGGAAGCTGTAATGGGAAGCGTCGAATCTGTATGTTTAGGGCAGGGAGAAATCTTGAGGGACGTTGTTGCACAAAGCTGCCTATTTCGGCGTAAGAAAACTTTCAATGGGATCAATGGGAAGGAGGTCATTTGGCATGTGTTTAGTGAAGTAGCGAACGAGCTGGGAGTTCGAAAGGCACTCTGCGAGCTCGTACCTGAGGAGCTGTGGAACCAGCGTGTACAAATGATGTCTGTGCCAGATTGGATGTTGATTCTTTGTAAGCTGGAATCAACAATATCTGACGATTCCTGGCAGATGATCTTAAATCGGACTCGACTTGGAAAAAGCGGGGTGAGTTAGCCACTGACTATTTTTTGTGTTGTTGTTGTTGTTGGTGTCGGTTTTCTTTAAGCTTACTAGAACTATAAAGTAATCCCCCTAACCATAAATAAATGGTGGTCTATTCCATTCAAATGTCCACTCCCATTCCCCCCCAGAAAGTCATTTCCGAGGGGATTGACTGTGACGGCACCTTTGATCTTTGGAAAATTTCTGAGGGGTGTAAGAAAAATTGGCTATCTCTGTGGGGGTAGGCAGGGTACTGTGTCAGTACCTTTGATCTTTTTTTCTTTTCTTCTAGAACTCATCAGACACTCCAATCTTGCTTTCCAAAAGCAACATAAAGGCACTTTGGTCTTTGGTGTTTGATAAAGTTCGAAGCCTCTTTGACATCACCCAAATACAAGATTTTCCTGGTTATGAAGTTTCTCTGGAAAGTGCCCTAACATGGATTATCAGGGAGTTGAGATTACATGGTGTGCAGAAAGAAATAATTGACCTAAGCCTCAAACTTGATGGTAGGCCATTTGCAGGTGAGAACACAGTTATCTTTAGTAAATATAGTGTACTTTATAATATATTTCCAGATTCCTTTATTGTATTTTGCAACAACTGTGTTGCACTTAAGAAAGAAAAACATAGAAACAATTTAAATCATCAGTGAAACTGGGTTAAGAATTATGACAGCAAGGGACGTACAACAGTGTTCAAATTATTTCTTAACTGTTACTGAAACAAGTTCATCCTAACGAAACCCTGTGATCATTTATCATGGGTGTAGTCTTGGACTGAAATAACCTTTTTCGTCAGTATTCTTAAATATTTACCGTTCCTTATCCACAATTTTCACTTGAAAGATATTCAGTCATAGTCAGTGCAGAGATAAAATAATGTAAAACAGCCGAGGGTATATAATATAATGGGAGTTTAAAACTTGTTGTCCATATTATTGTTGTCTGTATTAGGAAGTAAATTTTAGAGAAAATACATGAGCTTTTTCTTGCGACAAATCCATTAAATTAAATACAGGTGACTGTATTAAGTTTGAGGGGGGGGACGGGTAACATCAAAGTGGCGGGGTAAACATAACCAAACACTTTGAACTCTAGGTCATGAAGTGGTGCTTAAATTTTTGAAATTCCTTTTTTTTTTGTTTCCTCTCATTTGTAGGGCACAGTCATGCAGGTCCTAATGGGTGTAGTCCCCAAAGACACACCATTCCTGTCTAATCAGAGCTGCAAATCAGTGCAGTGCCCTTTACCTATTGCTAATTGTAAGGAAGACAGGTATGTTGTATTTAAATTTGATTCATTAGTTAAATAGTTATTTGTTTCCAGAATAACTAGTTTTGTTAGTGAAAATTTTATTGTACCTTTTTGACTGTGCAATCTTTGGTTGTTGACCAAGTTATACATGCAAGCTGAAATAATTTGTGGATTTACAACAAATTTATTATATGAGGACTAAAGGCCCCAGTAAACGATCATTTTTGAAAATTTTACGTAACCACAAAGGTCTTAATTTATTAGTGGGCCTCTCAAACCCGACCTTATGTATTCAAGTCTTAAGAACTATCTGCCGCAGACAGTAGACTAGCAGTATGGTATTTCATTTTCCTTTTTTTTTTTTTCATCTTAGTAATAGGTTCAGTTTACCGGTAACTTTACTTTTTATTATTATTAGGGAAAACCTAAAAAAGCTGATTGTTATAATGTCAACAAACAAAAGGATGCACTAAAGAAGAATGGAATCACAGTGGATGGAGTGCATTATGCAGTGAGATTTAAAGGTAAGTTTCACATAATAATTAATAAGGTATTTTTTTAGTACCATAATTTTCAATCCAAATGCCTGCATGTACATTGACCTCTTTTTTAAAATTTATATCTACAGTTATACTTGACCTGAAGGCCCTCTATCTTTTGCTGGAACAAATAGGGAAACGAACTTTCAGCTTGGGAAACGAGGAACTGAAGTAGAGTGTTGCTTCATCTGCAAAGCATTGAGGGTATGTGGATATATTCAAAATCTCTGAGTCAAAAAATTCTACTATACAGGTTTTGACCTTACCAATAACCAACTTACCAATATAGTACTAATAGTTTTTCAGTTTTGCTGGGTAAAATTTCTTATTAAAAACTAGCTATGAATAATTGCTATTTTTATTGTTACTTTATTACTAATTAGGGATGTAATTGCGATCTTGGTCTGCATACAGTTTGTTTGGAACACTTTAGCATGTTCTTAAGGCCAATATTGGAGGGTAATTTAGTTATAGTTTTGGTTTACTAAGAATTCTCCGATGATACTTGTTTAGGCATGCAGCCCTTGATTTTTCATGAATTTCAGCATTTGTAGTTGTCATTTTGAATTCACAGTAACTTCTAATTATAAAAGGCATTCAAAACAAGATTATCTCAATACGGTTAACCTCTATTCAAAAAAATAAATTCCCTGGTATAGTGAGTGAATCTCGTCATCCGAGCATTTATAGCTTTATAAGTATGTTTTCTGTCAAAGACTAACTTTTTATAATAAAGACCTCATTTTAGCAATAATATTTTGTAAATTAAGCCTTGCCTTTTGTAAAAGGGGAGGTTCCACTTCATGGAAAAGAATCCAAAAAAGCATTTTTTTGGACAAACA